GCACGGGGACACCGTGGTGGCACAGCAAACCTGGCGTGGGGTGGAAAAAAAAAATCATCACGCGGGATTCCCGTTTTCCTGGCAGGGAGGAAGGTTTTCCCCATCCTCACCTCGAACGCCGGCGCGTCCCGGCGCCGCCAGACCAGCTCCTGGGTGTAGGGGACGTTCAGCTGTCCCTTTGTCACCTCCAGGACGGCACGGGTGGGGGACGGTCCTTGGAAAACCAAATTTTTCTCCCCATACGCCACGGCGCGGGCGCCCAGGTGCAGGCGGTAGGCGACATTCTGCTTGTCCCGCGGGTGGATGCTGCGGAAAAAGCCAGTGGGGGGGGTTAATATCCCCAAATTTGGGTTTTTTCATCCCCCGCCGCGGGGACTCGCCTGCCGTAGGGAGAGTGCTTGTCACCCAGGTCCATCGTCACGGCCATGAAGGTGGCGGGGAGTTTGGGGTTGGGGACGGTCCCCAGGTCGGCCGTTTGGTGCCAGCGCAGGCGGGGGAAGGCATCGTCGCGGCTCCGCCAGCGGTACGTGGATAACTGCGAAATGGGGGGGACGCAGCTCAGACAGCGACCCCAAAAACGGGACACGGCGACCAGGGGACGCAGCCACCCGTTTACAGCGTCCTCAACCTCTGATGGCCCGCTTGGGGATCAAAAAGGCACGTTTTGGGGTGAAAATGCCCCTTTTTGGGGTCAAAAAACCCCATTTTGGCCCCAGAAAGCCCCATTTTGGGAACAAACAGATGCATTTTTGGCGTGGAAAAGCCCCATCTCGGGCCCAAAAAGCCCTGTTTTGGGGCTCATAAAGCCCTGTTTTGGGATCAACCAGCTCCTGTTTAGGCTCAAAAAGACCCATTTTAGGGTCAACTAGTCCCGTTTTCGGTCCAAAAAGCCCTGTTTTGGGGTCAAAGAGCCCCATTTTAAGCTTGCAAAATCCCCATTTTGGGGTCAAAAAGCCCCATTTTGGGCCCAAACAGTCACATTTTGTGATCAACCAGCCTCATTTCAGGCTCAAAAAGCCCCTTTTTAAGCTCAAAAAATACCCATTTTGGGCTCAAAAAGCCCCATTTCTGGCTCAGCCAGCCCCTTTTTAAGCCCAAAAAGCCCCCTTTTGGCCCCAAAAGCCCCAACCAGCCCCATTTTGACCTGCACGAAGCCGAAGGGGAGCAGCGGCTCGGTCTGCCCGGCCGATCCCGCGTGGAACGCCCGGCGCCAGTCGGCGGCGAGCGCGGGGAAGCTGCAGTTGTAGCGGTCGGTGTGCAGGAAGGCGTTGCTCTCCCCTGGCCCCCCCAAAAAAACGAGGGGATGGTGAGAACCAGGGGGGGTTGCTCCCTGTGGAAAAATTTGGGGGGAAAAATGGGGGGAAAAAAGGGTTTTACCCTGGTACCAGGCGATGCCGCGCAGCGTCATGTTGAGCAGCGGGTGGATCATGGCGTTCCACAGCACCGACGGCGTCTGGGGGCCCGAGAGATGCTCGTGGGGGGAGACG